CAAAAAAAAAAAAAAAAAAAAAAAAAAAAAAAAAGGGCCATGGAATGTGCTCCTTCCTGGCCAGATGGGTGCCAAGTGACATGTCAAAATACAGAAGTGCCATGAAGACAGCTCGTGAGTGCTTTTCTCTAAGGTACAGGAGTCGGAGACTGAAAAAACAGAAATAATTGGGGCTCCGTGCCTTTAGAGGACCTCTCGTCATTTTCTGTGGAGGAGATGATGTCTCCCAGCCAAGCACGGCTTCTCGTGCACTCCAAGGAACTCAATTCTGGTGCTGAGCCATCTCCGGGACCAAGTGGGGAGGGGGAGGCAGGAAAATGAGTGTTCAAGAAAATGAGAGCCAGTAGGCCTGGCACACGGTGCCTTGGGTCCCCAGATTGGGACTTTTTTTTTTTTTTTTTGGCTTTTACAGCACTCCAAGAACACGTGCCTGTCAGGTACACTATGATACTCGACACGTAGAAGCTAACACGGACCATTTTGAAACAGCTATTTCTTATTCTGTCTAAAAATAATTCCATACCCACCACATATTTATATAAGAAGTGTGTTGTTGACACAAACCAGCCACTGGCGTGAGAAGGGTGATGCTGCCTAGTTTGTGCAAATCTTTCTTGTCTGGCTTTGTGAGACCCTGGTTTCTGTTCTGTATCCCCTGTCTCGTGATCGTTGTTCGGGTGAAGCTGAAGGAGAAAGGTTTAATGTAGACGTGGCTGGAACAGGAAGGATCATTTTAAGAGTCCGTTCCAGTATTGGTGGACTTTCATCACTGATCATACACCAAGACAGTGGGACCTTCTGAAAGGGTAGCTGCCGTGTGAAATCCGCATCCATCTCTGTGAACTTGCCTGTTGTGTTACCCTAAACTACACTGGTCTGCGGACTTTGGGTGGCACTGTCTCCCAACTGGGATCTACACCATCATACACTGGTCACTTAGATCAGCTCGCTGACCTGTTCAGGTCTTCCAGGTCATAATGCGTTCTGTTGTCCAGCAGATAAAACTTCATGTCACTGGCATGACCACCAGTCAGTTTCCCATCAGAGAAGTCTTCAGGAAGAGGGCGCTGTCCCTGGGCAGTGATGGCGCACGCCTTTAATCCCAGCTCTTAGCAGTCAGAGGCCGGCGGATCTCTGTGAGTTCTAGGCCAGCCTGGTCTACAAAGCGAGTTCCAGGACAGCCAGGGCTACACAGAGAAACCCTGCCTCAATAAATAGATAGATAGATAGATAGATAGATAGATAGATAGATAGATAGATAGATAGATAGATAGATAGATGGATGGATGGATGGATGGATGAAACTTAAAGGGGCCAGTGGAGCTGTTGAGTTCAATCCAAGTTTACAAAAATATTAATATTCATGTGAAAGCCCCAATTCAATCACTGGCAAAAAAATACCATCTGTGCCTTGCCCTGTGCCCCACTCTTTTTGTTTATTTTCCAAAAACTCCCCAGCAAATGCCCCTGACTTAGAAGACTCTGCCAATCATTCTTGAAAGTAGAAATAGCGTTGCATAGGAGAATCCCAAAGCGGCTAGTTCAGCGAGCAAGGACTTCACCGAGCGTTTCACGGGCTGCAGAAACGCTGCATCTGCACTGTTCACCCTGTCACACAGTTTCTAAAGGAACAAGCGCTCAGGGGTCCGCGGCTGTTACTGTTGATAGTGTTTACTGCCTTCTCAAGGGCAGTCTGAAATGGGGCTTGCTGTTGTTACCGTTCGCTTTGTTACTTTATGTGCAAATGCACACGTAAGTGACGGCACAGTGACTTAGGCCCAGTAGTCTGTCTTAAGCTAATGTCCCTTAAGCTGGTGTCCTCTGTTGGTTTTATGCCACCAGTGCAAAGGTGAGATGCGTACAAAACAGAGGAGGCTGGTCTTTTTCTTTAAGACTTTATTTTACTTTTAATGATATTTATATGTAGGTTGGGATGCATGTGCTTGCAGGTGCCCACAGAGATCACGAGCAGAAGGGGCTATCAGATCCCCTGAAGCTGAAATGATGAGCAGTTCCGAGTGACTCGGTGTGAATGCTGGGAACCAGTCTTGGGTCCTCTGCAAGAGTGTATGCACTCATAATCTCTGAGCCATCTCTCCTGCAGTAAGAACAATGCTTTTAGATCATTACAAAAATAATTTGGACCTCAGACTTCTGGAAGTTTCTCGGAGACCCTTAGGAATGGGTGACACATGAAGAACCACAACAGTCACTACAGCAGCCAGCAAGGAGTGGAGGGGGACACCAGCAGCAGGCAGCATCCAGTTCCTGATTGAAAAGGGGGACTGTGGTGGTTTGAAAGAAATGGCTGCCAAGGGGAGTGGCACTATTAGGAGGTGTGGCCTTGTTGGAGGACGTGTGTCACTCTGGGGGTAGCTGTGAGTTCTCCTATGCTCAATCTACTCCCAGTGTCACAGACCACTTCCTGTTGCTGCAAGATATGGGACTCTCAGCTCCTTCTACGGCACCGTGTCTGCCTGCACACCACCATGTCCCACCTTGATGATAATGAACCAAACCTCAGAAACTGTAAGCGAGTCACCGCAGTTAAATCTTGCCCTTTATAAGAGTTGCCGTGGTCATGGTGTCTCTTCACAGCAATAGAAATCCTAAGACAGAGACCTACAGGCTCTTCTCAAAATCAGGACAAAGCGTGTCAGCACCCCCCCCAGTCACTGAGAAACTGACAAAGCAGTGTCTCCCCACTAACAGGAAGGACAGTTATTGCCCTGCAAATATCTTTTTGTCGTTGAGCCTGCCTCGTTATTCCAAAGTAACCAAAGCCTGAAAATCTGTTTGCTTTCATTCGCTGGACTGTTGACAGACATGGGAGTCAAAACTCCATCTCCTTTGAGGCCTAGAGAGGAGTTGAGACTCTGACGCTGGGGAAATCTCATCCACAGCTCAGTCCTTGTTTATGTCATACCTGGGCCATTTGGGTTCTGACTTTGGTCTGAAAACCATGACCATGAATTTGTCTTTTCAGTGATATCCCCAAAAGAAAAGGATATATGATTGTCCCCACACCAGACACAGTCGTTGTACCGTAGACACCCAAAGCCTGATAGACGACAGAAAGGGGGCAGGGAGGGCAGACACGGGGCTGGCACACATCTTTGAGAATTATCGTGGTGAGAGATGATGCCAAGGATGCACTGGGGAGAGGAGAGAACCTGGTACCGCTCTCTCCGACAGGTTCAGGATGGGAGTTAGGATTCCAGAAAGCAGCCCGATGGATATGTCTCCCCAGCTGTTGGTTACTAGGGTGTGGACATGCAGTCAGAAAAGGGCAGAACAAGGGTAGACAGTCGCAAACACTGAGACACAGCCCACTCAGAGACGAGGGTGAATCCAGGGAAC